GGCCAGGTGTCCAGGGGAGACCAGCCCTCCCTCTGCCCAGGTCCTCCCCACCGCCTGACGGTCTCCTTGCCCCCCGCCTCCCCACCTTTGCCAAGTTCAGCGATGCCCGGCCTATGGGGCCGCTTCAGCATCTCATCCGAGCCACTCCCTGCTGCCAGGGTCTCTCCCTACTGAGTGCGGCCACTGAGTGCGATGACCCCCACGGCCAGACGTGTTCAGGTTCTACACAGTCCAGGGTTCCAGCCAACAGCAGACTCCCGCGGGGTCACAGAGGCTGTGATGCTGAGTGGAAAACCTCTATGGAATGGCCCGGTCGAGGTCCCGAGGTCCCACGACTATGTGCCTGCCCCGTGACCCCATCTCTGAAGGGCAGCAGGAAGGCAGCAGAGGGGACGTGCGTGTCGCAGAGGACCAGGTCCCTAGCTGCGGTGGGACCTGGTGCTATGGATTGAACTTCGCCCTCCCGAATTCGTATGCCGAGGCCCTAACCCCCATGTGACTGCATCTGGAGATGGGGCCTCTGAGGAGGTAATGAAGGTTAAAAGGCCACACGGGTGGGCCCCGATCCACAGCGCTGGTGCCTCGTAAGAGGAAGGGACGAGAGAAAGCCCGCTCTCTGCCACGTGGGGACGTGGGGGAGGGCAGCCGTGTGCGGGCTGTGAACGGGCCTCACCAGGAACCGAATCGGCTCGCACGCTGGTCCCAGACTTCTGGTCCCAGACTTCCGGCCTCCACGACTGTGAGCAATACAGGCCTGCTCCTCAGGCCGCCCAGTCTGTGGCATCCCGCTATGGTGGCCCGAGCTCACTGAGACACCTGGAGACTCCTGGTCCTACGGGGCCCAGGCCCGTCTGGGGGACCCGTTAGGCATACAGGTGCCACGCTCTGCAGCCGTCCCAGTGAGACCCAGGAGGCCCCAGGCTCTGCCTCCGTCCAGGCCCCAGGGCTACAAGCAGCCCTATGCTGACATCCTCCTGCCCAGGGCGTGAGGATGCTGGTGCAGAGCGGGTAACCCCCCCAACAGGGGAAAGACCAGGTCTCTGCTTGTGGTCTCACTAAGTGATGCTGGCTGCCCTTGCTGCCCTGAGCCCTGCCCTGCCACCTCCCAGGGTCGGCCCGGGCGCAGGAACTGTGTGACAACTGTCACACTGGGCCCGTCTGCTGCCCTGCACGCTCCGCCACCCCCACCCTCACCCACTGGCTGCTAAGTACGTCCCTGAGGCTCGTGCTGTGCCAGAGGCTGTGGCTGACAGGTACGCGTGACTTCTGGGCATTTCTACCCTCCTCTGCCCTCTGCATGTTCCAGGTGGCTCTGCTGCAGGACACTGAGGTCCCCGTCAGCCTGAATCACCAATGAATGCACGGAGCGGGCAAGCCCGACCGCAGGAGGCAGCCGTCACTAACGCCACTTTATGGAGAAGCGAGCGAGGTTCAGAGAGTTTAAGTGACTGGTCCCCGGAGACACTTGCAAGTGCCACCCCACGGCCCACCGCATGGGGGACCCCAGAAAGACCATGCCCCAGACCAGGGCGCCAGAGCCCTTGCTCGCTCACCCCTGCCGAAGCGCTCGGCCTCCCCCCAGAAGGCCTTGTGCTGCTGGGTCAGCAGCTCCTCCTTCTGCTGCCCCGACAGCTTCCTTTCCACGGTCAGCAGCTCCAGGCTCTGGGCGATGGCAGCCAGGCGGCACCTGGTCTCCTCCTGGATTTGCAGCTTCAGGGATTCGATCATCTTCGCCATGTGCGCCCGGCCCAGGGTCCTCTCCAGGGTGTCCTAAGGAGAGAAGCGCACTGGACGTTACGCTGGGATGTCCTGGGCCAGCGCCTGGCCACGAGGGTCGGCTGGCGCTCACAGGTTCCGTCCTGGCGCCCCCACCTCCCTGCGGGCAGAGCAGACGAAGCGGCTCCCCTTCGAGCCCCCAGTGTCTGATCCTCAGACAGGGACCCTGTCGTCACTCATGGGGACATGGCGAGGCTGCCGCTGGATGGCACGTGCCAAGAGCTTCGTACATACGGAGTGCCCCACAGAGGCCTGCTCCTCCGGAAAGGAATTTGGCACACGCCTTCAGTCAAAGGGAAGATCCACCTGCCCTGGGAGCCAGTCCTGCCCCAGCCCAGTGGGGCCTCTGGGACAGAAATGCAGGGGAGATGAAAAAGTCACAGTTCCTGGCTTCGAGCCTCAGAGAGCCTGAGTGCTGCAGGTTTAGGAGTCTGCCAAGGTCAGACGGATCCAGGAGGGAGGCCCCAGGCCCGGCTTCAGGCTTTTGGGCTGGCCCGGCCCCGACCCACTGTGTCAGCCTTGCGGAGGACGAGGCTCCTGGGAAAGCCGCCTCCCCCACGCAGGCCGCGCGGTCGGGAGGCAGAGGCGCGTCCCGCAGGTCCGCAGGGCTGGTCCTGCCCTCTCAGCGGGAATGAGAGGGGGCAACGCACAGGGCAAGGGTGCCGCTGTGTCCAGCCGACCCCGTGAGAGCGGCAGCTCTGAGTCCTTTCCCACCCAGGGACGGCCCCTCCAGCCGCCTGGCACTGGCGAGGGCCCCCGAGCTGGCCGCAGCCCCTTCTCCTGCACCATGCCCGCAATCCTGCCCGGTCCAATGCCCCTTCTCCATGCCCTTCCTGGTGGCCCGTAGCCGTGCCAGCTCAAGCCCTGGTCACCTCTGCCCTGGGCCATGGCCAAGGTCCCTTCTCTGGTTCCGCAGAGCAGACAGGGGGCCTGACTGAGCCGCAGACGGGAGTGACACTATCATCCTCTGGCCCAGACCCTCCAGGACCGAGTCCAACCTCCCAGGCACAGCGCATCGACCCTCGAGGACCAGGCCCAGCTGAGTCTCCCGCCTTGTCCCCCCACCTCTCTGCTCCTGGCGGCCTGGCACGCCCGCTCGCAGCTCCTCCGGGCCTTTGCACACGCAGGACGCCCTCCGGAAAGGCCCTCTCCGCCCCTCACCCTGATGCCTGGCCAGGCGCTGCTCATCCTGGCAGGCTCTGTGATGCCTCCGCCACCTTCCCCAGCCCACTGCTCCCCCCGTCCCTCCGTGCTGCGCTGCCCCAGTTTCTGTCTTTAAGGAACTAAACACGAGGACAGGCCCAGCCTGCACGGCCCAGCCCAGGCCTCGCTGCTGGCTGAGCTGCACGGGTCTGTGCTCTGATAACGTGTGACCGTGGCAAGGATAACAGTCCCCAGTTACAGACAAGGACACAGAGGGTTATTCAGAAGGCCACATAAGGAACCCAAGGGACAGTGGCTTTGAACCTTTTTCTCTTCCAATGAAACAAACTTGCCAGCAGCCAGCAGGCCCATGGCCACGAGAGGGCGCCGGAGGACAAGCGTGCGGTGGCCTGGGGAGGAGTGTGCCCGGCCGGCCGCGGCCACCTCTGATGCGCACGGCGATGCCCTCCCTGCCCGCAGTGACTGTGCACCCCCTGGATTTATACGCAAGCTACGGTGGGAGTGGGGTGAGGTGAGCCTGAGCAGGGCGGCACGGGACGGAAGGCGGGGGGAACAAAGGGACGCTAAGCAAGGGACACGGCCAGCTCTGAGGATGTAGCTCAGGCTCGCACCTGGCCTCACCCTTCAGAGCTGCGGGACCATGGGCAAGGTGTCCTCAGCTGACACCCACTTTACAGAGTTGCTGTGAGGATTACATAAGTCATGAAATACAAAGCCCTTGAAGTAGCAGCCGGACACAGAGAGCGGTCACGAATGCCGCTGTCCCCGTCACTACCCACGGCAAGTCCCCCATCGCTCACAGCATCTGCTTTTTCTCAAACGTCCCAAGAGACTGATTCTGCCAACCTTCAGGGCCCTCTGCAGCTCCCTGCTGCATTCCAGGTCCATGTGCCGGCCCAAGAATTTAAATTCTTCTAAAGTTTATCAACGGCATATCCCGAGATACATTTTTGGGGGTGTACGCGGGATGCCGGCAGAGCTAGTCTGCCCCTTCTGAACAGATGGCACGCATCAGTGCGATGCCTTGTTTATGTGCATTTGCCCGCTGATGTGTGGCCTGCAGGAGTGTCATTACTAACACGTACGAGCACTTCCCACGTGCCGGCTTCTGTGCGAAGGGCCTGATGTATCAACCCCCTCGCACTCTCTGAGCAGGTGCTATTCTGATGCCCATTTTACAGACGATGAAACTGAGCCGCAGAGAAGTTACGTAACTGCCCAAGGTTACACGGCTAACAAGGGACAGGACCGTGGTCTGAGCTCAGGTCTCCGGCTCGAGTCTGCAACACCGTTTCTGTAATAGGATGTGGCACACAGTAGGTGCTCATTCAAGGTGGGCTGAAGGAAGAACATGCTGAGAACCTAGCTAATTCTTTCCTGTCTTCCTATTTGGAAGTTTCTAGCTAATTCCAGCCAGAGCCAGATAAAGATACATTTTTTTTCTCTTTTTGCATCAATAACCTGCTGACAGGATAATAATTAAATAAAAGGAAGAAGAAAAAGAGAAGCCTTTTCCCTTTGATGAGCATTAGTATCGGCGGGCTTATCAAATTAAAAAA